GGGGCAATTGAAAGACAAACAATTATTTGATGGCAGTAGCATGCCATTGAGTAGAATCTTAAAAGAAATAGGCTTCAAATGGAAAAAAGATGACCCAAGACGAGGGCTCATGGAACTTCCTGGGACTTTATTCTCGAAACAGGGGAGCAGCGTTCTCATGAGAACGAAGGCTCTGTCTTCATCGTCCGTATTCATATTTCCATAACACTGACAATGACAAAGCAATCGTTCTCATGAGAACGCTGTTCCTCGGTTTCACGAATAAAGTCTCTGATATTGCTGTTAAACGCATAACATTTTTAAGGTCTTATCTAAGACTGAAACAGGAGGCTTTGTACCAGTTTGTTTTCTTGAACGAGACTTGGATTTTTCAAAATGGTACTATTAACTGTGGGAAGACAACAACAAGCGAAGTGTTAAAACTACCAAAGTTGATGGTATAGGTAAATATAAACATGAATACAGAGAGCAGTGTATTATATGTACAAAGAAATGCTTTTTCTAGATATATCATACCTACTTCATGCTGGCACTGAAAATGGATTCATTGAAGGTACATCGCTTGTATATTCATCGAAAACTCAACTTAACGACCATCATGAAGAAATTAATCAGCAAAACTTTTTATGTTGGTTCGAAAATCAGCTGTTGAAGAACTTGAGTGAACTATCTGTCATTGTTATAGACAATGCTCATATGGCATACGCTCTTCCACTTCAATAGCATACATCCTTTCACTTATCAATATTGATGAAGACTCTAGCGATTTCAGCGATTTCAGTGATCCAGAATAATTGAAAATCTTCTTCATTTTATTTGTTTATTTATTTATTTCCATTTCAAATTACACAAATTCATACAATAAGTACTGTAAAAATAAACATAAATTGAATGACGTCAAAAAGAAAAAAATTCTACAAACAATCAATATCATAGGATTACACTACTCATTCCTAGCTATTCATACACTCTTCAATATTATAGGGCTCCAGATTAATTAGAAACTGCTTTAATTTTTGCTTAAAATGTTTTTCATTTGTTGTATTTTTTATGTCATTACTTAATTTATTGTGAAGTCTGACACCCATATAGTAGGGACTTTTCTCAGATAGGGTCAAACGATGGATTGGAAAAGGTATGTCGTTTGTACGAGTGTTGTATCCATGGTTAATATTGACAGAAAAAACGGTTCGTCTGTTTCTAAAAACAAACATGATAATTTCAAATATATACAAACCATATATGGTTAGAATCCTCTTAGATCTAAATACACCCCGACATGTTTGTAAAAAGGACATCTTATAAATTATTCTTAAAGTACGTTTCTGAACAACAAAAATGTCTTGAGCCCTAGAGCTAGAGGCCCAAAAAATTATTCCATATCTAGCAGTACTTTCGAAGTTCGCAAAATACAGTACCTATTCTTTTAGATGTATTATCCAAATATTTTGAAACAAATCTCATGCAGTAACATATTGTATTTAATTTCCTGTTCAGATTATCAATATGCTCAGACCAGTCCAAAAACTCATCAATATGCATACCCAAAAATTTCGTGCTCTTGCTTATTTCAAAATTACATTCATTGATTATTATAGACTCAGGTTTTTTCATTTTACTCAGTTTGGTTCTGAACAGAATTATATTGGTTTTTTCCTTATTTAGATGTAATCTATTTTCTTCAAACCAATTTTCCGCTGATTTAAAAGCATTTTCTGCATTCTCAGTAAGCTCAGGAAGGTTAGATACTTTCACTAACAAATTTGTGTCATCTGCAAATTGTGTAATACTGAGATTTGGGTTCTGTATTTGAAAATTTAGATCATTTACAAAAATAATGAAAAGAACTGGACCTAATATACTGCCTTGAGGTACCCCTACTGTATTTTGCGATATATCTGATTTGTGCTGTATGCCATCCTTCTGGATAACAACCCTTTGAGACCTTTGACTCAGATATGATCGAAACCACTCGAAAGCGCGTCCCCTTACTCCATACAAAAAGAGTTTTTGCAGAAGCATGCTTCTGTCTAGGCAATCGAATGCCTTTGAAAGGTCCAAAAATATGCCAAGCCCCATATCACCTGCCTCCAAGTGTCTCAATAGTACCTGTGTGAAATGAGAAATAGCGGTATGCGTCGATCTATTGGCCAGGTATCCATGCTGATTGTTACAAAAAATATTACATTCTGTCATAAACTCGATCAATCTCACACACATGACAATTTCAAAAACCTTCGAGAATCCGGGAAGCAGACTTATGGGTCTATAGTTATCAAATGAATTAGCATCCCCCTTATTTTTATACAAAGGCTTAATTACCGACAATTTTAAACTTTCAGGGAACACGCCCTCTCTGAGTGAACTATTTAACATGTAGCACAAGACCTCAGTGATTGCTGGAATGACCCGACGAACAAGACTTGATGGAATTTCATCCTCTCCAGAGCTATGCTTGTTTTTCATTTTTCCGATTAGTTCTAAGAGTTCTTTTTTTGTAACAGGTCGCAAAATTAAAGTTAATGGATTTTCTTGACAGTTTACTCAATTTTTCTCCATACCATCTACTAGTACTGGAATTAAGTTAGTTAAATATGCATTATACCTATTCGATATTTCATTTGGATCTCCAGCAATCAGGCAGTCATTTTCGCACTTCGTGTTTTTTGTCATTTCCCTATAGATTGTCCACATACATTTATTTTTATTATCTGATTTTTTTATTCTTGTTGCATAGTTTTCTGATCTAGCTTTGACTAATAATTGATCGTATTCTTTTTTTACTTGTGAATACATTTGTCGATATGTATCATTTTGTGTTTTTAAGATTAAAAGATTGTCCAATCTATGCTTTACAAGATTAATTTCATTATTTTTTAAGTATAGAGTTTTTTTACGGTTCTGATTTGGATTAAATAATTTTCTTGGAAAAGTTGTATTAAAGATCATTTCAAAAGTATTCATAAAAGCATTCCATTGTTTATTGACATCACATGGATCTACCTTAAAAATATCCTGCCAGTCTTGCTTCCTTAAAGTTTCAAAGAATTCATTGCTACTTATTTCATTAAAGAATCTTTTAAAATAACATGGTTTTTTATTCACTGTAATTAAATTAACTGTAATTTTTTGTGCTGTATGATCGGAAATAATGGTATGCAAAAGAAAACTTGAAATTAACTTATTGGGAACATTTGTTATAATATTATCGACACAAGATTCACCATTTGGTGTTATTCTCGTGTTTTCCAAAATTGTTGGATACATATTAAAAGAGGTTAATACAGACAAAAATTGTATTCTATCATTCTTATTTTTTAACATTTCTATATTAAAGTCACCTGTAAGAAACACCCCTTTTTCTTCTGGGATAATAAGTCCAAGCAATAGTTCCAACCTTTGGAAAAATATTTGTATGTCCCCCTTAGGTGGTCTGTACACTGAAACTATGAAAATATTTCCTCTCATCAAATAACATTCGACACATGCACATTCGAAAATCCCTTCTACTGAAAGCTCCACAATCTTTCGTCTGTTTGAGAATTTTTGCTGTTTGTCTACATAAATGGCTGCACCCCCATAACCTTTTTTTCTACAAAAACTAGATGCAAGTTTAAAGTTGTTGATGCACATTAGTTTTAATTCTTCAGTTTTTCTCCAGTGTTCTGTGATACAAAAACATTTACAACATTTATTTTCTTCGAGTAGCATATTAATTGAGTCTAGACTGTTGCTTATTGATCTGACGATCTGGTGTATGATGCTGAAGTTCTTATCGTTAACTTTTTTGGGATTCAATGTCAAAGTTATGCTGCTGGTTTTTGTTGTACCTAAGTTTTTGGTAAAAAATTGCCTGGTTTGTTTTCACTGTCCCTATTAAAATCTATGTATTCTCGTTGTTTTTGTATTTTTTGTAGAAAAGCTGGGCATTTTTGGTCTCGAGCTGAGTGTCTTCTATCCTGCAAATTTAGACGCTTACAATTTGGACAGTCCAAAAGGTTGTTTGAACAATTATTTGACTCATGCTTATCCCCACATTTGTGGCAACATGGGTCTCCTTTGCAATACTTTGCCACATGTCCAAAATTGCAGCATTTAAAACACATAGCCAAATTTACATACTCTTGAATGTAGGCTTTGGTAAGATCAAAACAGAGAGAATTGTTTCTGATTAACCATTTAAAGAGTCTTGGTGGGGTTTGCAATATCCAATTTTCTTTTCTTTCGTTTCTGCATGTTTTTTTGGTGATAAATTTAATATGTTTCTCCACATTTTCTCCAAATATAGCTGTTATTTGAGAGTTATCATTTATAAACTCCCGGATAAAGATTTCTGGTTCGTAGCCTTTTTCTATTCCCATTATCATAATCATTGGATCTGTATTCTGAAGGTCTTTTGTTTGTAAATTTTCCTGCTTTTTAATGATTTCTTGAAGTCTTTTCTGCTGATCTTCATTATGACATTCCAATATAACTGCGCCACTCTGTAAATGCCGAACATTTTTGAAAGTTTCGTTTAGACCCATTTCATTTATTTTCTTTTTCACTTCTTTCACAATGTTCACAACTTCAGCTGGATCCTTCGATTTTATCAATATTTCATGTTTTCTAGATTTTTCTGGTGTTTTCCAACCCTCCTTTGGGATTTCTTCTCGTTCTTTATTTATTATTTTTGCAATGGTGCTGTACGTTTTTGGAAGTTCTTTTTCCGTTTTTTCTGTATTATTTTCCGGCAAATTAGTTATATTTGTGGTATTTTGTTTTGGACATTCCTCTTTACGATGATAATTTGCCTCGGAGAGGATAGATTCCTTTATTTCTAGTGTTCCTACTTTGTAGATAAGTTTGGTAACAGCCCCATGTAGTTTAAAACTAGCTTTTCTCATTTCCACCAGATCTTTCTTTTCAAATTTATCTTGTTCTGAAAAATTGTTTATAGTTCCAAGGGCCTTTAAAATAGTTTCAATCATATCATTTGTACTATTTTCAGGTGAATTTACTTGTTGAATGTCTTTGGGATTTTCGTTGTCTTTCAACTGGGTTTCATTTTGAAAGTTGTCTGTATGTTTAGGTATTTTTTTGCGATCTTGAAATGCGGATGGGCTTGTTTCGGATCTTTGTCTTTTTAATCTACTGAAGTCATCAGTAATGGTATTTTTCGGAGGTGTTCTTTCCATTACCATTTTTGGATGAAAAACTTCCGCATAATCATTATTGGTATTTTCTAATGAAATATTTTTCTTAGTTATGTCGTCGTCACTGGCCTCGGAAATAATTTTATCGGAATTTTTTATCACATGAGTATGATGTTTATTACCTTCAAAACCAATAATTTTGTTTACTTCGGATCTTGATAAGAATGCGGAATCCACTGAAAAACTTCTTGTTATTGCTCCCTTTGTTAAACTAAGTGCATCTTTTTGTTGCAAATTATTCTCTCTACCGCCACTATTATCACCCATACTTTTTCCTACACTTTTTGTACATAAAACTTATAAAAAATTCGCAAATAATCAGAACCAAAAACACACGTCTACTCACTACTAACGCTCGATGGATCAAATATTCATAATATTTAATAAGATTTTTATAGTATTTAGAGTGGCTGTAAATAAAATAGGTACTGAGCGTTATTATTATATTTTATGTGATGATTGAAAATTGAGTTGTTATTAAATATCTATAAAACCAAGCTTTGAAGCAATGTTTATAATTTAAGTAATAAATGTTTACATTATATTATAATACAATAATCCATTATTGTTTCTGAAAATATTTTGACCAAAGGAAAATATGGAAGAGACGGCAACGCTGTGCCGGCCGAGCTTGACAACCCGACTGTAAGTTTATTTGGTATGAACTATACTTCATTATTTCTCTATTTTTCTGAAGCCTTGCGGGGCCAAGCCCCCTGCCCTCCCCCCTCCCCCTGGCAGCGTCACTGCAATAGTTCTAATATTATGCGGATGAACACTTTAGGTCACTGGAAAAGAAAACAAAAAACAATATAAACAAACAAGGAATCAGCTTGATGCATACGTATATTGTAAATTAAACCAACCGGTTAAATGTCAAATTTGTCCCGCGTATCCCCTAAGAGGTGTATTTTTTCACTCTGTGGAATGGTCCATTTCGGAAGGCTTGCGGTAAGCAAATATGAGTTTTGGGTCTTGCACAATAAATATGTTTCTGGCACAATGTGTGTTTGGGGTTCTGCTGGATGACATTTTTGTCTGCAGCATTCCGGGTGTATACACCATGTTGAATACTCTCCTTATAATTATTATTATTAGTATTATCCATTGAGCATTAGGAAGCGGTGAGACACCGATGAGTGTATTGCTTATGATTGTTCGACAAAGTCTCCAAAAATTTTGACTAATGTGTTGAGGAGGCTTGTTAAATTTTTATCTTCTTTGTTTTTGAAATTGTTTTTGGTAGATGTACTTATAGTTTCCGCACTCAGTGAGTTCCATTTGTATACCACTCTATTAGTTCTATTCTAAAAAGTCTTTTCTTCCGAGAAGAGCAGATTTTTCCTTTTTCAGCTTTTGATGATGTTCCCTGAGATCGTTTTATTTCGAAACATTTTTTCCATTCCGAGCACTGGAGAGTAGTCAGCATTTAGAATTTTAAAGTTTCCTTCAATATTGTGAGGTTAAATATCTGTAGTCTCAGCACAGCATATACAAAAACAATCAGCAGGCTAACTCTCACGCGCATTTTTTCTGCGCACGCCGCCATGAGGGAATACCATTTTGTCATAACGCTGTCATTAAACGGCAGGAGCGGCGAAATTTTATTTTATTTGTTTATTTCTGACGGAGGTCATAGGCATGCAGTGTAGAGCGGAATTTTAGCTATGATTTTCAAAATGATTTTGATATATTCGTGTTATCATTTATGGTGTTATCTGTTATCATTCTTGTATATTCAATAATAATAATAAATTAGTAATTATAAATATTATTATATGTAAGTAATAATAAATTAGTTTATTTAAAGCCAATACGACTCTGTCACAGGAAAGAAAAAACCTAAATTATCGTTAATCAGGCCCTGTTTCGTATCCCAAATTGACCGCTAGTGACATTTTGACGATGAATTCTTTTATTACACGGGCTGTCACTCAAGTTAGCCTGCTGATTGTTTTTGTATATGCTGTGGTCTCAGTCTCAATTCTTATAGTACACTAGCTGACCCGGCGAACTTCGTACCGCCTCTGAATTATTAAAAATACCTATTAAATGTTGTGTTAACGTATCTATTAGTTGAATTAAATTCAGTTTTTTTCGATGGTGAATTTGGCTTTGGTTGAAGAAAATTAATGTTTACTCTCTGAATCAGAAGTTACCTGAAATTGAAATTTTACATCATCCTTTTTTAGGCAGCTTGTAGGCATTATTCTTGTAAACTGTACCACCAAATAAATAAGCTCAGGCACAGGAATGTTCAAAGAATGTAAAGAAAACAAAAAAAATCTCTAGCGCAGATCTGCACTGCATGCACTACACTACTCTATCTGTTCTACTTTATCTGATCTACTCTTTCTGCACCACTCTATCTGATCGGAATAGTGGAATAGTTCTGTTCGAAATAGCTCCAGTTCCTGAGCAGCATTGTTCTACTGTATCTGCAATGCCGAGCTTCGTTCCAGGTATCAGAGAAGGCGCGGTATACAAAATACAAAATAAACTTGGTATCGGTTATAAGAGATGGTGCCGTATGCGGGCTTAGTAAATTTTTTTCATAAATAAATAAAATAAGTAATGAAATGACCACATTAATGACATAACAACATCCTGGTACTGTCAACGCTGAAAAAAAGTTTCAATTTGACAGCAAAATCCCCATTAACAAAATGATCCTCCATTTATTACAAAAAATGTGATAAATGAAGAACCGCTCGACCGATTTTGTGCAAACTTCACATAAACCATCTAATAAATAGTCCGAACAAAGCCTAAACATTTGGTTTGGCTAGGTGTGCCCGTTCTTGAGTTATAAAATTACAACGAAAAGTGGCATTAATTTTTATATACAGGGTGGGGACTTTAACTGGAACTAATTCGCTAGCGCCTTCGGATAAAATATGAGGACAAAACGCAAAAGCACGTTGATTAAGATTTTTTGCTTAAGATTTTTTCACATGAATTTTTGTATACAGGGTATTTCAAGACCAGCTGTACGGTTATCAACTTAATTTTTCTGAATGGTAACCCCTGTATATTATAACATTTCTGGATTCTGCGGAAAATTCTAGACATATTTCATGTATAATGTCATATACGTATCTTCAACTGTTTCGGAAATATTCACAGTTGAAAATTGACTTTTTTGCAACTTTGACCGGCTGACGGAATTTTTAATCATGGATTAAATTCAAAGTTGGTGTCAAATAATAGTTTAGGAAAAACCTAGATAAAAATGTATGATCGGTTTTGCTGTAAAATCAACCGTTTAGGTTTTACAGTCTGTCAAAGATGCAAAAAAGTCAATTTTCAACTGTCAATATTTCCGAAACAGTTGAAGATAAGTATAGGACATTGTACACAAAATATGTCTAGAATTTTCCGCAGAATCCAAAAATGTCATAATATACAGGGGTTACTGTTTGAAAAAATAAAGTTGATAACCATACAGCGGTTCTTAGAACACCCCGTATAAAAAAAATTTAGGTGAAAAAATCTTAGGCAAAAATTTCAATCGACGTGGTTTTGCGTTTTGTCCACATATTTTATCCGAAGGCTCTAGCGAATTAGTTCCAGTTAAAGTCCCCACCCTGTATATAGATTGCGAAATTCCGATGGCATTTTGGATATTCTGCGTTACAGAAGTTCAATGTCTTTAATATGGTAGGGGCTCCAAATAGTGTAGCCATATTCCAATCTTGATCTGCTGTAAGTTATGTACAGAGTGGCCCGTTTAAGAGGGACCTATACCTTATCTCGAAATCTACAAGAGGTGCAAAAAAAAATTAAATACAAAAGTTGTTTCTAATAAAATTATCTACATTTTTTTGCATTGCTTTTGTTGTTACTCTACTATATACAGGGTGGAGAGATGAATTTTTTTTTTTTTTTAATGGAACACCCTATATTTTAAAACACTTTTACATAGCCCTTTGAAAGACAAATCCAACGATATATTGGACATGTGTCTGTGATAAACCGTTTCGAACTTATTAGCGATTTTCTTCAGGATTTGGGGTAATTTTAAACAAGCATTGCTACGTTACTCATAAACTTTTGAAAAAAATCTTTGCATGATATTCTTTATAAAATAATGCTCTTCTTTAGACTATATTGAAATCTGGAATATTTGTTTAAAAAACGCGGTGTTGCCACGTTTTGCAAATTGTTACGCTTTTCAATTTTTTTAAATGGGAACTCCTGTAAATTTTCGAATTTTTGGATAGTTCTTTGAAATACAAATTCGACGATATACTGAGAATGGGCCTGTAATGCACCGTTTCGGCCTGATCGGCGATTATCTTCAGTTCTAGCACAATATTTTATGTCATTCCTGTTGAATAAAAGAATGTCTAATTTTGCAGTAGATTAGTTCAAATAGTGCTCTTTATTATTATTTTTATTATTATTATTCATTCAAAAACTAGTCAAAGTTTCTCCCCATTATTGAAATAGAAAAGAAGTCACGTTTAATTTTTTGTTTTCATAAGTTTGTCGCCTTTTCTATTTTAATAATGTGGAGAAACTTTGACTACTTTTTGAACAAATGATAATTAAAAAAAAAACTTGGATAAAAACAAAGTTAAACATTATACAATGTTGCTATATTATTTAACAATACCTACTGCAATAAACTATAGTTGCAGTAAACAAAGAAAGCATTGAATTATAAAGTCAAAAATAAAGGTTACTGATTAAGAATAAATAAATAAATAAATATTTTGAAAACTTCAACTTCAGGCAAACTATAAAATTAATTTAATTAAATTCTCTATGTGCCCGCCATTTTCAACAATACAGGTAGTATATCTTACTTGTAAATGTCTTATGGCATTTAACACGTAATTAGTTTGGTTTAAATAGTCTATTGCTTCCCTAATTCTTTGCTGCACTTCCACAATAGTAGATGGCTTATTTTTATACACAAGATTTTTCAATGTGCCCCACAAAAAAAAGTCCATGGGCGTCAAATCTGGATTTCTCACTGGCCAAAAGATGGTTCCATTTTCACCAATCCACTCTCCAAAATTGGCATTCAAAAAATCAGTTATGATATCACTTCGATGGTAAGGTGCGCCATCTTGCTGCCAAATTAGGTTTGGATGTTCATTCTCAGGAATATTATGGTGAATCAATGGCTGAATATAGTCACTAAAGAGGCGCAGGTATCGTATTGATGTTAAATTTCCCTCATAAAATATTGGCCCTAAAATTCTGGACCTCCAGATTCCGCACCACACCTTAACTGACCTTCTTCCCTGTTTGTTCAT